GTTTTCTTTGTTTGATAGATATATAGATATATCCCCTATGCACAGAAGTTTTCGCTGCCCCTTGCCCACACTAAGTAAAATAGCTGTCCACATTCATGTTGTATCCTTGTCTATTTTTCCTTTCTGGCATTTTTTCACTAGCTGTCTGCAAATTATATATGTAATGTGTAGGTTCTCTAAATCTCCCTGAGTATTTTGTAAGCTCCGTGAGGGTGGGTTCATGGTTACCTTGCTCAATAAAGGTGGCACTTGACAAATCATTGAATATTGATTTTAATTTTTATCAGTTCTTCTGTTTTACAGAGACTGTCTCTGTGAACCTATTATAGGAGGTTATGTCAGACAAATCTTCATATTATTTCTATTTATTTTATAATAGATAATTATATTTATTAATTATCTCAATAAATTTCTATTTATTAAATATAATAAATACATTTGCAAAAAGACATTTGAGAACTTGAAAATGTTCCACTGAGATTTTTCTTTACCATTAAATATTCAACTATATTGCATACTGTGGTTTTCTTTAAAGCCTGTGTTTAGCATATCTTATCAACTATAAAATGATTTAAATATAATAAATGTCTTTAATTAAATTGCTTAAGACTGGATAGTCAAATCTCAAGAGATGGATTTGTGCACAAACTAAATTGTATTATATTTGTTTAATGGAGCTAAGTATTTGGTGATCTCAGTCAATTATGGCTGCTAATTATAAACATTGGTTTAAAGTGACTAGTATCTGATCTTTTGAAGTAGTTCTCTTCTAACATATCTTTCTTCTTTAAATGCTGTTGAATTCTAGCATTTGAGTGTCCAATTTAATTACTTGAATTATTCAAATTTGAGTTATTAAAAGTTTATTATGGTAGATGTATACAATTTTTTTTCATTGTGATAAAGAAAAATATTGAAAAATGAAGCAATGTATATATTACAAAGTTCCTAATGTACTTTATATTTTAACAAAATCACAATGGAAGTTTATCTCTTTTGGAAAATTGTTTTAAAAAGGCCCATAAGTGATTGAAAAGAGGTTTTTAGGTAAGTTATTCACATAAATAATAATATTAAGTTGTAGAATACAGACATCAGAAGGTTATATTGCACACCTAATGAACATAACTAATTACTATATGATATCATATTAGGTATTATATAATATAGTACTGAAATTATAGTCAGGCTTTCTATTGGTGCCATGTTGGTTCCACTGTATAATTGTTGATAGAATATTAATTTCTTAAAGTACCATAGTATAATCCATGTCAAAGATCTAGGGACTTACCCTGCATAGATCTCATAATTACCATTGACCATTGACTTCTGTGAGCAGCCCATTTGCCCATTTCTTGAATGGAAGTGTCTACTGTGTATTTCTTATGCTTGGGGGTGTACAGGAGCCAGAAATCTTGTTTGTTTTCTTCACAAGTCTTCAAATTAAGAGTAAGTGTAATAAAGGAAAGGGACCAAGGAGCCCTTCTGTGCCTGGATCTAATTTAGCTTTCAAGTTCTTGGGTAATAAACTTTAGCCTGTTACTATACTGGCATGAGACTTTTGTTTGTATTGGGAAGGAACTGTGTGTACATGTGAAGGGAAGCAACATGTAAAAGGAAACAACATTTGTAGCTAAAGGAAAGAATGTGGCTATTTAAAAATTTAGCCCCAAATACAATGGTTCATTTCTTATTTAGAAATGATGTTTATGTTCCTCACCCTTCGCCACTGCAGCCCCAGCTTGCCGTTGAAAGGCTTGTGCCTGCTCTGACCATGAAAACTACATGATGTAACTGCCAATGCTAGGATAGCAAGGGCCATAAGTTTCTGCCTGTTTCACTGAAAACTCCTGTTTTAGAGCTCATAGACAGCTCTAGGACAATGCCGACCCCATGCGTAGAGGCCACAGGTAGTCATTCTGATCCACTACTCCCAACTGAGCCCATCATTTGTTTCATTATTTTTGGGTGCTAGACAGTGTGAATTTCACATTGTTGAGGTCTGGATATTTCTGATAGTCAGTAAGCTCCTTGCAGAGTACTTTGATCCTCTCAAGTTTTCTTGAAAACTTTGTGCAGGCAAGTGTGACTTAGCTTTTTCCCCAGAGCAAGTTTAGCCTTACTATTAAGACAGTGACTTTTCTTGGGTCTCTATTGAATGTTGGATCTCACAAGTGTTCCACTTTTCGACTGTTCCAAACTTGAAAGTGTCCTGGTCCTATGTGAATTCTTGGAACTTTTGAATTTACATTTCCTCCATTGTTCTTTAGTTGGCCTAATGTGTTTAACCCTATGCATATAGGAATCAATGCAGACTTTATAGGTAACGTTTATGTAAATTTCTGGAACACTTTAACCTCCTAACTTTCTGTAAACTTACTCTGTCCAGCAAAGAAGTGGCCTCAACATCTCCTAACTCCTGTGTTCTCAATTCAGCAAGATCTCCAGGCCTTTTTGGGGATTTGCCTCCTTGCACAGTCGACTAGGAACTGCTTTGAGGCAGGAAATCAGGGCACTTGTGAGCTCCCTTTTTTCAGGGATCACTATCCTGTGTTTCTAACGTCTAAAAAAAATCATGTTTCATCTAATTTGTCTAATTTTCCAGTTATTTACAGTAGGAGTGAAAATTTAATCAAAGTTACTCCCTCATGGCTGGAAGCAAAAATTATCCAGTTGAATTTTAATAATTATCTGTATTACAGGAATAGGGCTATATTGCATAAAGGAGGAATACTTAACCCCAAATATATTAAGTAGCGATGTTAAAGTATTTAAAAATATTGTTACATATAGTTTATTCTTTGCCAAATAAAAGTGTGAATAAAACTACTGAAAGCAAACATCGTGTTGTATAACATTACTATTTAATACCCTTAAAGATGTCAATAACTTCAGAAGTACATTTTTATATTTTTATGATGATGTTAATGTGAAATCTAGATCTAAGACTGAAATAAACTGTATTTCATGTAAAATTTAATTTTAACATTTAGATTACAGAATATCATTTGGTGTTATAAACTCAAAGCAAAGAAAGGTGACATGGTTGAAGAAGATTTTCTACTTGAAAAACAAGTCAAAAGTGAGAGGGGGAAAAGTTTTAAAGTTAAGAAAATTTTTAACTAACTTAAAATGGCCTTTCTTCTTTTCAGTAATAAAATAACTTTCTACATTTACATATAAATATTTGTGATGTTCCCTTTGATCTGTATCAAAAAAATCTATCACTTTGCATAGGTAGAGTTGGAGACCTTTCAAAAATAATGCCAAATGGTAACATAGACAGAAGTCTCAATTCCAGAATTATACAAGTATTTTTTTACATTTAATTAATATGTCACAAAATGATCACAGTCATTGTCTATGTCTAAAAGACTGGAGTAGTCCATATTAAATTATTAGTGTCAAAAAGGTAAATACATACTTTCCTGAATAAGCTCTTAACAATTCCCACAAGCATTGCTCTTTTCTCTGCTTCCTCCCAACTGCTTTCAACAAGTTTGATTTTTTTCTCATTTCTTGATGCTCTGATTTTCGCACCTTTATTTATTACTCTTCCTGATTTAGTTAACATTAAATAGCACTCATAATTGAACTGACAAAGCCAAGAACTGGGTAAGTGAGCAAAACCAATTAGAGAATTCTTTCTGTGGAGAGACACGTAGAACATCCCTTAACTCAGGAACACTTTCCACAGACCTCATTGTTCTAGGACATGCAGGAACACTGTTTATTGATCAGAGCATTTTGTTCAATATCTTAAAGGTAATTACACCAGTTGGACTGAATGTTTTGTCAGTGCAAGGCACACAGAGGAACAGTGACAAAAGGCAATGGGCATTTTATATGTAATGTGTAGTTCATTCTTGAAATCATGTAGCACTTTTTCTTCTGAAATGCATATTCCAAACTTCAAACCTCCATCAGGAATTATTATGATCCTGTGGGACACAGAAGAAAGAAGAAAACTGCTCCAGATTTAAAGAGAAATTTGAAGACTTACATGACATTTGAACTGATAAAATATTAATATTTACAAAGGAAGCTGTTTTTTGATGTGTGAATTTTAGCAAAATTATACACAAAAGCCATAAAAATGAAACACGAGGTTCTTACCTGCTCAAATAAATACAATTTGGGGTTTACAGCCAAAATACTTTCCTATGAACTGGCAGTTTGCCCCTTCCAGCCATCATCCAATCTTTTAAAATATAATATTTACAATTACTGACTAGACAATATCGCTGCCCCAGTTATTATTTTTGTTAATGGGGGAGCTACTTTTTAGCGTGCGTTGTTGTTGCTCTTGTAGAATATTTCCAGGTGTGACTAATTTACAATAAAAGGCAATCCAGTACAAGGATGAAGAGCACAGAGACTGAAGTCACATCTTGGTTCTGACATTTAGCAGCTGTGTCATCTTGGGCATCTGGACTTAACCTCTCTGTGCCTCAGTTTCTCATCTGTAAAAAAAAAACAACAACAACTTAACAAAGATTATGAGAGTATTCACCACAAGAGGTACTAGATAGGTTACATTTACAAACGAAAGTGAAGTGGTCAGCACAGCACCTGGTAAATACTAAGCATTGTGAGAGCTGCCTTCTATCATTATGAGGATGATGCTGTTTTTATAATCATGCTGATGAAGAGCCACCAGAGTTCTATCCTGATTCGTTAAGATGACTGATGAAGATGCCATTGAAAAATAATTCAGGAGCATTTTGCCAGTGGCAGTGGATTTCCAAAGGCGACGATCAACGTGGGAGATCCACGCTCGCAGCCGCGGGCCTGCCGCCGGGTACCCGCGCGGCGCTCGATTTCCTTCCCTGCCTCGGCCGCCCGCGGCGCGCATGCTCAGTCCAGCGCGGCCCTCCTTTGATTGACGTGTTCTGGGCGGCCGCCGCGACCCGGCACTGGCTCGGGGATGGGAAGCAAAGCCCCGGGAGCTGCGGCGGCGGCGCCGGCGCCGTGAGGAGCAGCCCGGGAGGCAGCTGCGGCTCATCGGTGAGTATCTGAGAAGCGCCACCATGGCTTTTCGTAAGAAGAGCACCAAGAACCCCCCAGTCCTGAGCCACGAATTCATCCTGCAGAATCATGCGGACCTCGTCGCCTGCGTGGGGATGTTCTTCGTGCTGGGGCTTATGTTCGAGGGAACAGCAGAAGCCTCTATCGTTTTTATTACCCTCCAGCACGGTGTTACCTTTCCTGCAGCAGACGAACAAGCCACGGAATCAAAGTTCCTTTATTATTATGGCATCAAAGATTTGGCCACGGTTTTCTTCTACATGCTAGTGGCAATAATCATTCACGCCACAATTCAGGAGTATGTGTTGGATAAAATTAACAGGCGAATGCAGTTCCCTAAAGCGAAACAAAGCAAATTCAATGAATCTGGTCAGTTTAGTGTATTCTACCTCGTTTCTTGTATCTGGGGCACATTCATTCTAATCTCTGAAAACTGCCTGTCAGACCCAACTCTCTTATGGAGGACTCATCCCCATAATATGATGACATTTCAAATGAAGTTTTTCTACATATCACAGTTGGCTTACTGGTTTCATGCCTTTCCTGAACTCTACTTCCAGAGGACCAAAAAACAAGATATCCCTCGTCAACTTGTCTACATGGGATTGCACCTCTTTCACATTGCTGGCGCTTATCTCTTGTACTTGAATCACCTGGGACTTCTTCTTTTGATGATGCATTACTTTGTTGAATTACTTTCCCACATTTGCGACCTGTTTTATTTTAGTGATGAGAAGTACCAGAAAGAAATTTCTCTGTGGGCAGTTGTTTTTATTTTGGGTAGACTTGTGACTTTAATTGTTTCAGTGCTCACTGTTGGCTTTCACCTGGCCGGAGGGCAGAATCGGAATCCGGATGCCATTACTGGAAATGTCAACGTGTTGGCAGCTAAAATTGCTGTTCTGTCATCCAGTTGCACTATCCAAGCATACATCACATGGAATTTATTTAATGTCCAGCTTCAGAGATGGATGGAAGAAGATGCTACTCTTCAGGCTCCAAGTGTGAAAAAGAAAAGGACTAAAGGCAGATCTTCTAGAAAAGGAACAGAAAATGGTGTGGCAACTTCAAATAGAGTAGACTCTCCCTATAAGAGGAAAGAGAAGTCTTCATAACAACGAATTGCGAACTAATTGGTTTATGTTCACGAAGAAGTCTGCTCTCTGCTATAAGACACTTTCTGTGCTAGAGAATTCTCTGTTCTAGAAAATAGTTTGTGCTGTCTTTGATTTTTGCTATTGTACTGTGTAACATTTCTTTCAAAGACATTTGCAGGGAGGATGATGATTATGAGTGGAAAAAATTTGGTTTAGACTAAGCTACTCCTCATCAAAATGGTTTAGGGATCACCACCATATTTTGTTTTGATTTTTAACTTTGAACATTTTCCCAATGATCTGTAGAGATGATTACAAAATTCCACATATCAGTGACATAATTTCTTGCCCCCACCAATCTTTTACAACATTAACAAGTTGGTCTATTAGAGCAGTCATAGTTTTCATGTTGTCCTTCAGGGATAAAATGGAAATATAAAGGTAAAAGTCAACTTCATTAAGTTTCCTAGAAAAGATTTGTAAAACCACCAAAATAATGATGTGTTTTATAGGCAGTCATTGTTGCTGTTAACATCTCTATTAAAAAAACAAAATAGTAATGGATAACATGTGATTTATTGCCATTTAGTGAATCAAAATATCTCGAATTAATAAAAACATAGTACTGAAGAGGTAAAATTATTCTTGTCCATTTAAACACTTGTAAACTGGAAATCAGAAAATTAAATATTTACTGAAAAAGAAAATCAGACTTAGCTTTTTTTTGATATGTTTATTAAGAATTATCCTTAATGAGACTTTTAATTTTGGTATACACAGCATCTTAGAAAAGTATTGTTAAACTTGATAATGCTTACTTGATCTGTATCTATGAAAGGAATATCTGCTCATATCTGGAAAGCATTTAATACACTAACCTTAAGTAGTTTTGAAAATTAGGTGGATAAATAGTCTTTTGAAAAAATTATGTTGTAGCATCTTTAATTGGGAAAATTTATCCTTATGAGACATATTTTAGAGATATATATTTTTTTATTTATTTACTATATGTATATATAAATTATATCTTTACAGAAGCCAAGAGAAACAATGGACTGTAGTGGGTGAGTATTTATTATATTTATCTTCTCTCAACTTCCATTTTGATTCCATTTCCATAAGGTGAGTGTTTATGTTTTTTTCAGGTGACTGTCCTTTAAAAATATGCTAAGAGAAGGCTATATATTTCCTGTTCCTCTTTTCTCCTATGTCTCTCATCTCTCTGTCTTTGATAGTCTTCTGTTTGTTTGTCGTGGATAATTCAAATTTTCATATCATGGTTGGGGTTGGAGAGGAGACCCTGAAAATTAAACTTGGTATTCTTGTAGTGCCGAAGACAGAGAGCTAGCCTTGGCAAAGCGGTCTTTTCTATCCTGTCTACTTTAAGAAGTATCTAATTAAGCAAGATTATTTCTTTTAGGCTGTAGAGTCCATAATCCTACTGTTTTTTAAAATTTTTTTCTCTTTTGCCTTCTACTGTAGTCTCAGTAGTACATGCTCTGAGGCCCAAAATACAATTGCTCCACTTTAACTAACCATTGTGCAATTGTAAAATAAAGATTTTCAGTTTTTCATAGGAGAGAGTGTCTCTTCTCACTTTTCTTGCTTTTAAAGAATTCCACATTGTTACGTGTAACCCCACTCCTAGTAACATCTTTCTTACCTATTTGCAAATAAATGCAGGCATGATTCAAACTGACAAGTGATTGCAAGAAAATTATCTCAAGTGACTAACAGGGCCAAGAGTTAACTTGGGCTTGATGTTAAATATAATTAGGGTACAGATTGATTTCTCTAGGATTTTCTTGCCCCCACCAATCTTTACAACATTAACAAGTTGGTCTATTAGAGCAGTCATAGTTTTCATGTTGTCCTTCAGGGATAAAATGGAAATATAAAGGTAAAAGTCAACTTCATTAAGTTTCCGGTATCCTCTAATTCTTAGATTTTCTAAGAATCTTCAGAATAACTTCAGAATAACTTTCCGACTGGCAGCAGATGACTACAGTTGTACTAGATTTAATATCTGCATACCACATGGTAGAGAAGAAGAGAGAAAACCAGATTTCTAGAATTTCTAAAACACTGAGAGTTACTTTTAGTGAACTCATTTGATAAAAAGATGTACTACTGGGTTGATAGGTTAAGTTAGGTTATATGCTTCATCTGTAGAAAAAGGCAAAGTCTTTATTTTGTAAAACATAGGTTCACAAGATGTAGCAAGGTTATTAAAAAGGAAGAAATGGGGGAAGGATGCTGGGTACAACTATTCAGGAAAGTTCAATAAATGCTGCTGGAAAACAAATGTTTGCCAAATACCTTATGAGAGTAATGCTATAAATGAAATTCAGTGCAATACAAATTGCTAAGTTTCTCTGCCTTTAAAATTACCTCCTAACAGAACTCATGCTGTAGTTCTTTTAGTGTGATGTTGGTTTGGTTTCTGTCAAAATGGAATCATTTTGGAAACAAAAATTTCCATATGATTATTCAAGATATTTTTAAAGCAGGCATTTGTTAAGCCAATGAAAGCTCAAATTACTGATTGATCACCACAAGTTGCAAGAGTCCTAAAGATATGCCTGATATTAGGATTTAAAGGTTTTGCTCTGATTTATTCGCTTCAGTTGGCCTGCCAAACTTTTTTCCTTAAATAAGTCTACAGGTACAGATTTCCTAGGATGGATTCAAAATGAATTTTTTTAAAAAAAATTATTCTACTAGCATATACTTAAAAGCATGTTCCTTTTTTCTTAAATAGTATAAATGTGTTTTTCAGCCTACCTATTTCTTAAAGGACAATAAAGTTTAACACCCTCTTATTTTCCTAGAGTTCAGTATAATTCTCTATTTCATTTCAGTAGGAAAACAATAACCTTATAAATATTTCTTCACTTATCTCTCATCAATATTTGTTTATCTGTGGAGTAAAAATGTATAGCCAATAGTGTATTAACTTGGAATAGATTCAAGAAGATTAGAGTTCAAACATTAATGATTTAAAGCTTTCTTGAGGACAGAATCATCTGATATTATTTTAATTCAGAGTATCACAAGGGTATTTAGAAAGATATTGAAGGTATTGGAAGGGTATTTAATTTGGAAAAATAAGGGTAAAGTTTTAAGTTTTGATTCAATTTAAGTAAATTTGAATTATTAAAAGTTAAAAAAAATAATTATTACTGATGCTTTATACAGTAATGAAAAATTGGAGCAGTTCATGAGAGGAAGTTCTGGAGGGGAAAGTATGCTTGAGAATGTGGCATGTGGAGCAGACTAGGACTTCGCTACTTATATTATGGCAGGCAAAAATAACCTATGTTAAATAAAAGGAAAGTGAATCCCCCAATTAAAAGCAAAAAATACTTTATTTCAACACCACCACCACCATTCAGCAAATCAAGTCATGTCAATGCAGAGAATTTCATGGCTTGAGGAAAATTTGAGAAAACAGATAACTTTTCCTCTTGCCCAATTGTGCTTTCACCTAAGCCATCATAACACTGAAAGTATTTACATCCCAACATAGACTTAAGGTTCCCACCTCTGCAGCCCTTACTGTTTAATTAAATTTTGAAAAGCTGTCCCTCATGAATAAAGTGATAAATACCAAGTTGCCAAAAAATATTAAAATATAATTTATAAACTTTAATATGTTGTTTTTTTAAAAAGATGTTCTGAGTTGTATTGATATAAATTACAATTTACATCAACAGTTTACATACCTTACAGCAAAAGAAGGTAATAATATGATCATGAATAATGGTTAACAGAATAAGTTAGGGTTAAGCCATTAGCTCTTAGAACTGTGTGAACTTTGTAAGACATCTAAACGTTGCATTTCTTGGATTGCATGTCTTTAAGTGAGAAAGATATTTATTTCAAAAAGCTGCTATGAAGATTAAAAATCTATGTATGTATAGTGTTACAGTTTCTTTGTGTGTAGATACTTGCTCATGTATTGCCTATAGCTATTATGTATACAGTCTAATTAAACATACATATGTATGTGTATTTATGTATATATATATGCACATATGTATACACATAAATAAATTTTTCCCTATACATTTAATTATTTTTTTATAAGTTTTACGGAAGTTTTTTGTAGAGAAGTTTTTATGTTTTGTGTTTTAGACAAGTTTTAGGTTCACAGGAAAACTGAGCAGAAAGTATAGGAAGTCCCTTATATACCCTGAATCCATTCCCACAATCCCAGCCTTCCCCTTTATGAACATCCAGTATCAGAGTGGTACATTGTTACAGTCAATAAACCTACATTCATACATCTTGATCTCCCAAAGTCCACAGTTTACATTAGAGTTCACTCTTGGGGTCAAACATTCTATGGGTTTTGACAAACACATAATGACATAGATCTACTATTATAATATCATACAGAATAGTTTCACTGCCTAAAAATCCTCTGTGCTTCACCTATTCATCCTTCCCTCCCCTATACATTTATAAGTGCTGCACAAATGGCACCATTGAGTATTCCCTTATGTCTGAGTAGGAGGCAATAGAAAGGTATAGCAATCAAGTATAGCAATAGTTCCGCCTATGTATCTGGTTGATATTTTATACTAGTATGAATGACTATTGAGTAATGTACATTACAAATACATGTATATAAAATGTATAGAAATTCTCTTCTGAGTAAATGCACACTCATTTTCAAGTTATTAAATTAAGAGTAATTATAGACTATATTTTACATAAATGACAGAAAATACAAGTGATATCATGTGAAAACCTCTAATATATGCTATTTTGAATATGGGCCCTTATACTGTAAGGTTAAATTATGTTAAGAATAAAAATTCAGTTCTTAACATATTCAAAATTAAATTTCAGACTAAGTAAATGAACTGTGCATTTATTTAGGAAAAGCAAAGAGCACCAACAAACCTCATTAGTAGATATGAGTACTAGAGAGCAAAGTCCTTGGTATTCTGTAATATACATTTTTCATCATTGCCGTCTCACTAACATAGGGTCTCCTAGATAGAAATTTCTCAGAATTTGTTGAATTCAGCTGAATTAACCTTTTATTTTATTATTAAAATAAATAAACAAAATTTAGTATAACTTTCCTTTGCTACCTTTTCTAATATTTGACTTCCTCTACTTTTTATACCCTTTTCTAGTTTTAAGTGTTAATTATTGATTTATTGCCTGTCTCATATACCAGTCTGAGGTCTAGGATCATGAATCTTAAAATCACTAAAGTAACCTTAGCATATAGCACAATGTCTAGTATAGTGGAAAAGTACACACTAGAAATATGTTGACTGACAATGAATTTGATTTGGGGGCAGAATATACATTATGTATGAGCCCACACATACCTTACGAAAACAAAGATAGGTGAACCTTAATAATTTGTTCTTAAGCCACTTCAGTGAAAATCTTGGTTCCAAACATTAGGCTTTTGTTTGGAAATGGCTTCATGTCACAT